GGAAGAATTGCCGCTTCTTCTCCGCCTCCCCCGTCTCCTCAGCGATTATCGAGCAGAAAATGCTTCGACCTCTAACACCTGTTCCGAAGTCACGTTTCTGCCCCGGGGCAGACTCTGTTCGCCGAGGCGGACAGAGAATAAAGGGTTTCGGAACCGCGGGAGAACGCTTGATACGACCGGGAGACGTTACGTTGTTGAGTCTTTCTGCCCGTACCCGCGTGAAAAGACCGCGTTTCTATTTTACGACGGGAGTTAACGGTCTTTCGCAAACGGCGATGACAACGGCCGCTGCGCTTCCTCGTCGGTCACCTTCGAATGCGTCGCGTTTACCGCAATTCCGGCGCCACTGAAAGTCGTATTTCAACGGTTTGGCTAATTGTGATTGTTCGATGCCGATTTCATGCGATCGTGGTGGTCGGGTTGCTTCGAAATGCTGGCAGAGGAAGGTTCGACGATATCGTAACGCGTTGACCATTGTCTCATCGATAGGATTTTTATGCAACGGGAAAATTGTTCGCGTCCGTCTAAAAAAAAACAGCAGCGGCTTTCTATTTTCACACTAAACCTTCCGAGAGCTGAAAGCGTCTGACGTGTTACAGGAGAATTTCTTTAGAATCCTTCATATTCATTACGATGCGCGCTTGAATTAACAAATCTATTCTAATCGTTTCCTATAAAACAATTTTAACAATTGATAATGCCCGTGCCTGCGAACCGAGATTTTGCAAAGACTCCTTGTAATTGACACTAATTATTGATAATAATTGACAATAATTATTAACGGTCAAAATGGCCGGCTCCAGATCTTTCATTTGAAAATTGTTGAAATTATGTAGACTTCTTCACTGGAATTGATTGAATAGATTCTGTTGAGGACTCATCAGATGGATGACGGAGATCCTCTGAATATTGCACTTGGTGCCGACTACCTCGAAGGACCACCCACTGTAGTGGGACTCTATTTGTAACGCGCAACCTAACCGTTACGCGTATCTCTCTATCTGTTCTGTCTGAAGGTCTGTCTTGTCTGTTCTTCTGTCTGGTGTTGTCTGTGCTTCTGTCTTGTCTTCTGAAGCTCTAAGAATGTTCTGTACTCTTCTGATATTAGTCTATCTGTACTAAAGTTGTCTGTACTTTCTGTCTGTAAGTCTATCTGTCCTTAGAGGACCGGAGTCCTGCCTAATATGACCTCGGTCCTCCCTACTTCTCTTGACCTAGGGTGGGCGGCAAGGAATTACGGTCCAATCACTGCAATCCCAAATCCAGTGAGACTGCCCAAAACGGTGGGCCGGGAGTTAGGAGGGAGAGTGGCAAAATATCTCCTGCGAGACATCCCGCGCTGATGGGCCTACGTGCCCGAACAATGCCAGACCCAACCGTCATTGACTGGACCGTAATCAAGGACCAGGAGACGTTATGACGGTGCCACATGTGCCCGGGAACGGCCCGGGACAGACCCATACCGTCCGGGTACCCAAGCACATGGCCCCTGCCATAAATCCTGGCCACTTGGCCGTAACAGATTCCTTAATTCGAATTGCAACAAAAATGGCACAGAGCCTAGGTAAAATCAGTGATATAATTCTTATAAAACATTTCACGAAACAGTCATTTTTAGTGCTCGGTAAGTTTAGTGTTTAAGAAACAGCTTGAGAAACTAAAGTTGCTTTTCTGTTCTCGGAGGTTTACATCACATAGGAAATGAATTCTTCCGAGATTTATTATCTTATTTAGAACACGATAAAACTTGGATTAGATGCAGGAAGATGTCTTTGAATTCTAATTTCTGTAAACTAGTTCATAAACATGTTTGCGCAAACATCCGCAGCGATTGGATTCGTCAGCAAGTTGTGTAAAGTCATATTTACGTACAATAGTTGCGTGGAAACACAGTTGCGCGGAACGTAATTAGTGTGCCCGAACACTAAAACGCGCAGCTTTCTTTGAACGAAATTACTCCGGCTATTTTACGCAACATGAGCGCAATTTTTACGTGGTTCTTACCATTTAGGAAATTATCCACCAATTTCTTCAAACATGCACTCGAGTGAAAAATCGAGCGCTGGATATCGACCAAAAAATTGTCGATCTTCGAACCGCTGTAGCTTCGCGGGCAAAAATCGTACAGAAGTCTACCTTGGGTCATTTCGAAGCTCGAAGCCTCTACTTTAACGCACCTACACCGTATTTCTTCGAAGATCGCTTGTCGTTGCAGGAAATAATTAAGAGTTACGAATCCTAAAAATCAAAGATCATACAAATTCCATAAATTCAAACGTCTCCACGAAGTTCGAACAATTTTGCTCGCGAATCCTTTCGTAAATCACGTTTCAGAGGGAAGTCTGTTCTTCGCAACGAGCTCTCAAAAATTGCTGTACGATTTTTTCTCACCTTTTTATCGCATCTTGAACGAGCAGTGGACCGCCATCGCATGAAAGTTAACATCGCGATCAAGCATCGCGCTTAGAGTGTTTAGCGCGCGAGTATGCTTCGAGCGTGTAAATTTGGCGTAAGATGCGCGAGCTCGAAGGAGGAAGCTCTCACGAAAATGGTTGCGTCACAAGAGACGTTTTTCGTGGGAAATCCGGGGGATCCGTGCGAATGAAAACGCGGACTCGGCGCGCGACGTGAAATCTTTTTTCGTCATCCTGGTCACGAACGAGAGCCAGATCCATACGATCGACCTCCAGCCACCACCTCCACGTCCCGGGAATTGTTTCTCGTAAAACCAAAGCCAAGAAACGACATTTACCTTTTGTGGCCGATCGGGTGCGCTCGTCGACGGAAGTGCCCAGTCACCGAGTCCGAACAAAAATCAAAAAGTATTACTCCGCGATTCGCGACATTTCATCGTCGTCGTCGTCGTCGTCGAAGCGGTTCGTCTCGCTTCTATCCCGGTCGTCGTGCTCCAATCAGAAACCGCACGGTTCCCAGTCCGTCAAAGATTCGTCGCTAATTTAGTGTGTCAGTGACTACCATATGGAAGAGGAGCAGAACTTCGATTATCTCTCGTAACCGTGGAAATGGTCTCGGTTCGCACAGTACCTTTTCTCTTTCGCTTACTCACCGCCTCGGTTCTCACGCACCCCATTATTACCTTCCATCTGTTCGGTTCCCGGCTGGCTAAGCCGCGAGGAAAGCTCGGCGATTAGGAAGTTCGTGCTCGAAGCACTGTGCTAATAACGGGGCAATATTTCTCCCGGGTGAAAAACTGTCCTCGGGGCGAGGACATGCGACGCCGCGTGTAAGAATCGTTTGTGCAGCTTTCGCGGCCGAGGAGGACAAACTTCTTCAAACCTATGCGCGGCTTGTTCTGCGAAACAGCCACTCGAATCGTCGACCGCTAAAAGCGACTCTGGTGTTCGAGAATTTTATCAAGCTGACGATTAACCACAGAAAGATCTTCGTGAAGCAAGTATTTGTACGGTAGAGAATCTAGATTCCATCGTTCCGATTGAGAAGTTTCTCGAACGCTGAGAGCCACACTGCCTGCAAATAGTGTCGCGACTGGTACCGCATCGATACCTCATCGATATCTATCGCTACCAGTTGGTAAATTTCGATCCGATATTGAATTGCATCGAAGACGTAAGTATCGAACAGAAGCGATACATTTTCAATATTTACTCTAGAACAGGGGTGGCCAAATTTTTGATCACTACGAGCGACCTGATTTTTTCAATTATAGACTTCTTTTTTTTTAATTATTATCTACCAACATCGTATGTGTTAAGTGGTCATAAGAAAAGTAGTAATTTAATGCTAAAAATGAGCTGAAATTAAAAATAAACAGAGATAATATCAGATAATAATATCAGATGATAATAACAGCCGGGCGATTAGCGCCCAGTCGACCGCGGTCGACGCTTTGGCCACCCCTATTCTAAAATATCGATAATTGACTGTTACTTTTACTGGAATATCGTCGCATCACTGACACTTCTACAAGAATACCAGGGTGTACGCTTCTTTGTGTGTCTGTGTATACTTTTACGAAAGTATCAATTTACATAGAACGAAAGTATTAACACTGCTACAACACACAGGGAAATAGGAAGCAATGGAACACGATTTTCAAATACTTTTACTTTATAAGTACTTAGAATAAATTGAATGTTTTGTAAACATAAAAACTCGCGCGTACTTTTGTTAGTCTTTACTTCTTTTATTGGTAATTGCCTGTATTTACGGTGTCTTTCAAACGATTTCCCTTCTTTCACTAATCGATTCTCCGGCCTTTGAAAAACCTCGTTCGGCTGGAACGGAAGTTGCCGTTACACATAAATGTACTTTGACGAACGACAATTCGCAAAGTATCGAACGATTGTCAATATTTACGGAAAGTGTCAAAGAAACTTCGATTCGATACGATACAGTATCGATCCGGTATCGTTTTAAGAAGTCCCGGTTACGACACTGAGTATCTAAAATTTCGATATACATATATATATCGAATATATATATATCGATATATAATATAATAAATAATATATAATCGATACCGGATATCGATTACTTTGATATCGAATTGACTGAATGTCATCAATAATATCTCAATATATTAATTAAATTAATATATTAATATATTAATAAATATATATTATATATTATATCAATAACTTAATATATAATACGTACAAGTCATCGAAAGAGGAAGAGAAAATCGAAGCCCGATGATCGGTGCTATTGAAAAAGCAATGAACTCGAATCGATAGAATCCTCGTGTACGATCGCTTCACCGAAGATCGAACACGATCGGAATTGGTGCTCGGTCAAGGTCAGCCCAGTCGAAATTTTCGCAAGCCAAGGCCTAACGGGCCGAACATTACCAGCCGAAAAGCAACCTCGTTAACGATTCCGGGTGTTCCGCGAGTCTTGACACGCGCAGGTCGCACCCATCGGCACCTGGCAGCCTTAGGATCGGGTGGGCGGCTCGGTGTCCCCTAACATGTTGGTCACGCTCTGATCGTGACATCCGGCGCTGCTGATCACGCGGATCGCGTCCCCGAAACCACGATGGTGGCCGAACTGGCGGGCATTCCGTTTGGTAACGCGGAGCGGCGGACAGCTACCGTGGGTCCGGAGAGGCTCAGATCTACAGCGAAGCCGAAGACAAGGCCCAGATGGATCGAGGCCGCGACGCGTGAGCCGATCTACAGCGTTTTGGACGGCGGCGAGGCGTCGACGAGCTCGGCGGTCGTCGGCAAACGCAACGTGGTGGTGATCAGCGCTGTGAAGAGCGAGAAGCCGCGGGAGGACCGCCGAGAGTTCGCGGAGAGTAAAGAAGGACCGCAGCAGGGTGTCGCGTCGTTGGAGACGGAGGATGAGGACCCGTTGTACAGCGTCGTGAAAAAGCCGAAGAGGGTCCGGTTGCCGGAAGCGGGCCCGAACAGTAAACTGCGGCCGATCGAGGAACGGAGGGCCGAGGAGAAGAGGACCGAGGAACGCAAGACCGATAAACGGTCCCCGGTGAAGAGTCAGCGGGAGGTCCGGTCCCGTCAAGAGGAGCTGAAGAGGTGGCTGCAGGTGGCCTCGAACCAGCTACCCGAACCGCGGCGGCTGTTCGATCTCGGCGAGATGTACTCGAGCCACTTCGGGGAGTTTGATCAGCTGCAAGCTGATTGGAAGAGGCCCGTCTCGATACCCCGCGGGGTTGTTGGCCTCGTGGGTCCTTATCGCGTCTACCAAAACCCCAACGAGCGAAGAGAGTACATGCTGCAAGAGGAGGAGCTAGTCGAGGAAGTGGTAGATTCTGTCAGCGAAGTCGCGGCCAGAGAAAACAGCCTCGGCGAATATCATCGGAGAGCCAAGTGGAGGATCCGAGAGGAGGACGAAGACACCTTGGTGCCTGATATCAAGAACATTCCCGGGCTAGAGGAATTCACTGTCGAGACGGAGAGCAAGGACGCGTCGGAGTGGAAGAAGATCGACGATCAGACTACCGTTGAATACAATCAGAACGAGGATGCTGGCAAGATCGAAGAGGATCTGCGGAGTACTGTTGACGGGATTCTGTCGGGCAAGGAGGAGCGTGCTGTCGATGTTCCCGACGAGGTCTCTACCGTGTCTACCAAATCGTTGAAGGAGAAGGGTGAGATTTGTTTCGAGATTTCGGGCTTTCGAGAGTTCTGGTGTAGGAGGAATTGCTGTTGATCCACTGGCGTGATAAATTCTCGCTATAATGTGTTGTCAAGGTTATGGACGATTGGGGTGTCTCACATCATTCATTCACAATCTCCATCATTTAATCCTCTTTATATCGTCTTTGATAAATGGATTGAGAATTGGAAGTGTCGTAAAATCGTTGTTCTAAAATGCAGTTATTCACGAAAGTATTTAGACGGTTGTGGATATTTAAACTGTTAGGGTAAATTGTAGGTATTGTTGCGGTTTCTCAATGAAAGCGAACTTCGACAGAGAAAATAAGACCTTTAACGCCAATAAATTGACAACTTGAGTTATAGCTATTATTCTTTAACTTAAATATTTATTTTTCTCAAAATATTGGGTCTCTGAAAGCACAAATTTCATTAAATAGCGTAATGTAAAAAAACCATACGTGTGCATATATTATTGCGGTTATGTACAGTGGGTGTAGAAAGTATTCGTACACCTTTTAAAACGTAATAACATTATTATAATTGGGCGAAGCGCAATCAGTATGTTAGAGTGATTAGTCTACTAGACAATGACTAAAAAATTATTTTCAAAAATTGCAATTTGTTAAAATGATGAAAGAATGAAAAAATGATGCTTTTTCAACTTTCTCTATCTGAGGCTAAAACGAAAATTTAAAAAATGCATTTTGTAGATCCCGCTAAGTTATATATATGCTGAAAATTTCATCGAAATCGGTTGACCTTGACATGTACTGTAAGCAATTAAAGATCGCGAAAATCGCAGTTTTTCACGAATTTCAACCAAAAGCAAATAATATTTACATCTTTCAGCATGCATGCAAGTTACCGAGATGTACAAAATGCAGTTTTTAAATTTTCGTTCTAGGTTCAGATAGAAAAGTTGAAAAAATATCATTTTTTCCATCCTATATCACGCCAACAAATTGCAATTTTTGTGAATAATTTTTTATCCTTTGTCTAGTAAACTAATCACTCAAACGTCCCCCAGAAATTTAGGCCACTTGGCCCAATTATAATAATGTTATTACGTTTTAAAAGGCGTAGGAATACTTTCTGCACCCACTGTATCTATTACTACGAGCCAAATACTGCGGACGTTCCGATTACTCCATGTCAAGGTTGACACAATCTATTTTCTTTTAAATGTACACATACATCTACAATTCCCAGGATCAAGATATTCTCATTGTAGCACTTTACAAATTAGGTATATATAGGTACTCTACGATCACGCGTGTTCGCATCGACTCATTCAGAACTACACTGTATAGATTAAGGTACACAGTTCAGTAAAGCACCGCAGTAATGTACGCACATAGTAAAAAACCATGCACCAAATACTGTGTTATTAGATAATATTTGAGGACAGATGATAGTGACAGTGTATGTCCATTTTTTATCAATGTAACCATTACTTTATCTAAAAATAACGCTAAATTATATAGATTATTATTAATTACCAAAATATAAATGCCTTTCGAATCAACACTCATAGCTGTCGAATATTTCATAAGCTTCCGAATATCGAAAGTCAATAAATGAATTAAAACTGCGATTGCTGTTACTTGCATGTCATAGATTATCAATATTAAACATATAAAAAATTATGAGATCTATTGTTAGAGGATTACACACTATAAAATGTTAGATTTTATTACTTTTATAAAATACCGCAGTATTTGGGACGTTATACATACCCACCGCAATCATACCCACACTTACTCTATAGCTTCATAAAAAGGTGTCGTATAGAATAATGAACCCAGAATCATTTTAAAGCCTTCACTTCCGCAGCCCACTATTCATTTCCTTGTAACATATTTTTACAAAATCTGACAGTTCGTAAACCGAGTTTGATTGAACTGATCGAATCTATCATAAATTTAACAAGTGTAACGTTCTTCATCTTTTAAATAACCTGCAGAACAGTAAAAACCGTTTATTTAACCCGAGAAAGATAACCTACGTCGCAGAGGCGCCTGCGAAGACTGTTGATTTTTGTTAATTTTTCATAGAGGTCTAGTGATTTAAGTTTAAAATTACTTAAAATATAAAAAAATATAATATAAATGCATTTTATTTTTACAATAATGCCAAACCTTTAAAATGACTAGATTAACTTAAATAAATATCCATCGTTAGTATAAAATTGACGCCTTAGAAAAGCATGCGCCTCTGAAGCGTATGGTTATCTTTTACGTACGTTGTCATATGGTTATCTTTCTAGGGTTAAAAGTACTCATCGGAAACGTCAAGAATTATCCAGAAATGTGACAGATGCCTATACGACACCTGTACCTTGAACGCAGACAATGTTCTTTATCTCGCACAAAGATCCGCATTTAACTCGTCGTTTACTGCCGCAAAATTTACGACATTGTTAGGAGCGAACATAGAGTTCGTCGCTATCGCTGTCGGAATAGATGTCAGACATCTGTGACACCGTTACACTAATGAAACGAATCAGACACCGGTACACTTTCGAGCAGACAATGCAGAATATTGGTCGCTCGACTAATAAAGACACCTTGCACGTACGGTGACTTGGACGAGCGCACATGAGCCCACGTCCTATCTACCGCTAGCTGATCCTTTTCGTCCGACGATATACCGTACATCGAGTAACATGCATCGCGCATACAAATCCCGGCGGATCGTTAATAAACGAAACCGTGTCGTCCGCGGAACGTTGTACGAAGAGCCTTGCAGATTCTCTATGCATTCGCAGTGCTTACACGACACTGTGCTGTCGCTCCCGAGCCAGCATGATGAAAAGGTACGGAGTCGTGCCTCTATACTTTATTCTAAACGGTTCCGACTGCAGCCTAAACAGTTTCATAAAATTACTGTCGGCAAGTCCGACCCCGAGACTTGCGAGGATTTTATGCATTCGCGGCGTAAATGAACGGTTGCGATTTTAGAAATCTCGGCGCATGTTAGTTTCGGTTTATTTAAATTTCTGGAGAATGATGGACGATTATATTCGACTCTTGAAATTTTTATCTTAAATAATGATCCGCAATCTAGCGGTTATTTTCACGATGTTTTCGCGTTTGGAGAAATCTCTGTGAGTGCAAATCATGTTCGCAGCATCTTTGTTAATATGACTTCATAGAAAATATAATAATAATAATAATAATAATTCGTTACAGAAAAAGTAATAACAAAGAAACTGGAAATTTTCGGTTCAAGGTCACCCGAAGGTCATGCTATAGCACGTCGTTGAACTCGTCTTGACGCGAGCTACATTAATGTGAAGCACACACACACAAAAGATATGCAGTGCCATTTAAAAACATTAAGGAGTCCCCGATTTTTTATTGAAAAAATAACAATTTTTTCAAATTAAATGTTTTGTCGTATAACAAACAGGAAATCGATAAACGTTTGCTCGAAACATTTTTTTGTCAGATTAACGGTAGTGCACGAAAATGTGAGGGCAACAATTAAGGAAACACCCGGTATAATAGGTAACAGATTCTATCAGATATATAAGTAGTTGCCAAAAAATGAAAGAATAAGGATGTAAAGAAAAATAATAGAAAAATAATAGAAAGATGATTGAAAAATAATAGAAAAATAATAGAAAAATAATAGAAAAATAACAGAAAAATAAAAAAATAATAGAAAAGTAACAAAAAAATAAAAAAATAATAGAACAGTAACAGAAAAATAAAAAAATAATAGAAAAATAATAGAAAAATAAAAAAATAATAGAAAATACTGTGACTCAGCCATGATTCAAGATTTCACAGTCAAAAAATTCCTATACAATAGCTATAAAAAGCAGTCTGCATACAAATTATTATACTACAATGTACTATCTAATGTAACCATATAAGTTACTTATCATGTCACAGTAAATCACCAACAAATTTACTTATAATTCCATGAAGGAATCGATTGTAAATACTACTCTAAAATTAAAAAAAAAACTAATTCCTCGAGAAAAAAGATTCCTAAACATCGCGGTCCCCTTGAATCGTTGACTAGAACCACGATCGTTCAAGGAACCTAAATCGGTGTAACGGACGATACAGCGGTTGTACACCGAAGACGCAGTATCCCGAAGAATTTCAAGAATCTCGACGGCAATTTAACGTTTTAGTTCTCATCGTGAAACGGCTGTTACCGGGGAGCGTATGTCGAACGGCTCTCATGGATCTCACGATTCTATTACTTTTTACACCGCAGCTCGCGGTAATGAATAGTCAGCTGCCCCGACTTTCGCTGTTTTTGTTGCCCCTACTCGCGCCACCGCGGCGTAAACCTATACAATCATCGTCGTAAATTCTTACCGGCAGCGCCCGCCGCACCACCGGCGAATTTTCCACGGGTAAAAGGCCCCATTCACGACTTCCCGTCGATCGGATTGTTCCGCGGTCCGTCGACTTCCGGTTACGTACAGCCGTCAAATTAAATGAAACGTTTCTGCCAACGAGCTAGTAAAATTGTTCTACCGTCGCGTTGCTGACAGATAAAATAGAGACACGATCGCCGAAGACTTCCTACTGCTGCGTTACCGGTAATAAAAATTCGTAATAAACAATCGCGGAACGATAGCCGTGGACTCGTTTTAAAGTTTGGAGCCTCTACTTTCACGCTACATCGTTCCTTTTTCCTGAGATGCTTTTACGTAACATGGCGGGTAACATCTATTCATAACCGATCATGTCGGTTTATGCATTTATGGCATAATCGACGATGCATTTTTCCTAAAAAAAAGAATTCAAATAGCATCGTCTCCAAAATCGCTGGGAAATCTTTTTCGGGACTGTATCTACCGTGGATTTGAAAATCGAAGCTTCCACTTTACAATGACTTCGTTGAACATGCTTTGGGATTCTTTTTAGCCATATTATGGCTCAGAAAATAGGAACAAGTTAATAGTGTAAATAGTTCGAGCAAAACGTTACACCCTTCGCTTAAAGCTCAATGAATTATTGTTAAT